TAATGGAAATGTGAAGCATGTTATAGGGGACCAGTATTATTTAACTAAATCATGAAACTGAAATAGGCATTGGAGCTATGCAAAGTGAGGACTCATGCATATATTTACATACAATGAATCAAGATTTTGACTTCCTAAGTCATGATGGGATGTGAATGGAAGCACTTCTTCCTTTCCCAGCCATGGTGGGGTCCTGTAGGGAATCGGGTGTGTATAACTATTGATCTGATCTGATGATATTTGAAGGATATGTTGTACTTTGGTCTCCAAGCATCCCCCATAAAAGGGGAATCATGCTGATCAGGTGAGTCACTGCAATAGGACAGAATCTGTAAACTGTATTTCCTCCTGTCCTTCTGAGGCCACAGTATAGCTGAGCTCATTGAGAATTTCACTTTAACCTGGGAATTTGATTGTTTCTTTCCTTTATCCTTTAGGAAAATTCCCTTTTCAATGCCTCCTATAGTCCCACTTCCCTTCCCACATATACAATTTGAGGATAATGACAAAAGGAGACCCAGGTCTTACAGGGCTGTCTCTGAGACTGTTTCCAGAAGATAAATCTTCAAAGTCAAGTTCCAGTCAATGGTACTAAAAACACATTACACTTAGAGGGACAAAGAGTCAGGAAAATTGAGGTACTCATAACTGAGATTGTAAAAGAAGAGGAATGATGGTAAATGAAGACAAGAATTTCACTGGCAAGAGAGTGCAATGGACTTCGGAAACAAGCCTTGGGAGACATTGGGACATTTTCACAGTCTTTACATGTTGTCCTTATTATCTTTGTTCCATAGTTTCTGTCACCTAAATCCTTATAAATGCCTGCTAAATGGAGCATGATATTGTTGGGATTTCACCACAATGAATTTTTTATTAACATCAATTTTGGAAAAATAATATTTTCATAAAACCTAGATTAATGGTGAATAACAATATAGGGTATACAAATAAAACAGACCAAAGATGAAAGTTAAGCACAAGAATATTCAATGGGGATTTCATTGTTTTCCTCTCTTTATTTGATGATCTATCTGTCCTCTTCTCTGGTGTGATTTTGAAAATGTAAGTGAAATCACATAGTTTCTTGCTTAAAATTTTCTATTATACCAAGAATAAAATCTAAAGTGTTTTACAAGACATATAAAGCCTAAGTAATCTTATCCCTAATAAATTATCTGATTCCATCTCTTATCCCTCATTTGTTACCACTCTCTTTCTAACCTCTGATATTTACATTGGCCTTTTTTTTTTTCTGTTCACAAACATGTCAAATTCACTGTGGTCTTTGAGTCTTTGCTCTTGTTTTGCCTCTGTTTGGCAAGCACTATCTATAGATCTTTACAAGTGTCTAACATAGAGTCAGTAAGTATTATTATTTATAGATTCATTTAAAAAGAAGTTTTTCTGCTCTTAGAATGCACGTTCTGGATTTTATCTTTTTACTTTTGTCTGTTTTATTGAAGTTATAGGATGTGTAATAATAGCCCTTCTTGGTAGGAAAGGATGGAAGGTATATCTGCATTACCCACTCTAGCACAGTCCTCCAAATCTCTTAAAACAACAAAGGTGACTTTTTTACTCATCCACTCCAATGTGGATCAGCAAGAGGATTCTACCCTTTGTAGATTTGCTATCATTTTATACCATCAACTCAATATAGGGTTCAAGGAGAGCCAGCTTAGGTTAAAAACAAAAAATTCCAGCAGGTAGGATGAATTGCACTAGGTTCTGTTTGAACAGGTGGACTGAATCATGAACTTGGGAGCCCTGCCCCAAACATTTAGTCCACCACACTGATCATCAGGTGCCATGCTAGACAAAAAAGGTTAGATTCTAACTAATGATTTTCTCATAGTTTCCTGGAGAGGGAAGGCTGAGAGCTCATACATGTACAGTTGGAATGTAACCCATCTGCACATGTTCAGGCATAGACCAACCCAGAACAAGCTAGGAGGTGACTCTTTTCCCCGCCTCTTGGACATGCCCTTTATATATCTCCTTTTAACTCGCTTTGTGGAACCAGGTTAATTTTTCCTTTCTGAAACAGGTTCCCTCATGCATGAGTCTCTAATACTGTCTTTTCTGGTTCAACTAACCTAGTGCTCTCTAATGAATTCTTTCCCTAGAGGGCAAAGGACTCAATCTTTGGAGTTAGGGCTTGTACCAGCAGGTTTACCAGATGAGAAGATAACCAGAATAGAGAGTGCTGTCAATTAAGTGGTTTATTCCAGAAGGGACAGACATTGCTTGGGTTTTATTAACCATAATCTGGATCTGCTGTATTCCCTTATTCTTATTAGGCCTTGGTAATAGTGACTAACTTTTCTCATTGGAGTTTTCAAGGTAATTTGGAAGTAATCTGAGCAATTAGACTCCTTCTTTTAGCCCTCCAAAATTCTCACTTGGTTGTTCTCATTATTTCTAGAACTTCGTTGCAGGAAATTGAAGACACTTTAGGAAACACACCTCTAGAGACTGAACAATGGTTGGCTTAATGCAAGTAATTAAATAAATATTTTTTGATTCACTACAATTTGGATTCTCATATGAATAAATAAAGGAATAAATCAACAATTTGAATGAACAGAATTTGTATATGCTTAATTGAACTTTTAATAAGAGAAAGACCCAGAGAGTTTTGTCCACTCACTCTAAGGTAATGTGGGCCTTTCACTTTGTGGAGGTCACTAGGTTGATCCAAATAGCATCCCAGCTATGTCCTATCTCTTGTTGAGGAAGAAGGCACTAGTCTAAGGACATTAAAAAAGAAATAGATGAATTCTTTGACTCATTTCTTTTGAAATAGACTATGGAGAAATCAAATCTAATCTCATGTAATTAGAAGAAACTTTAATTGTATGAACCACAGACCACATTTCTTTGACAGTGACAGATAATAGCTTTCTTTTTATGTTGTATTAAAAATCTAATGGCAAATAACTTTGAAACCCCAACTAACTGGCAACTAAACTGTTTGGCATTTATCTCTGCAGTATTTTCACACTCTGATCACAAAATAACAATACTAGGAGTAAAAACCATAATGATGTCATAAAACCAGCACCATAAATGTATGCTTTTTAAGTGAAGTTAATGTTCCATTATGATAGATTACCATCTCCTTGAAAGGCTCAACCGCTTAAAAATTAGATTTGCTACATTTTCAATATTCAGGCTTTTCTCTTAAAGGGAGCTTCATTCTGGAGATCTCCATGCATGTGTATTCACAAGCATTATGTTTTGGTACATAAAATCTGAAGGCTTCTAAAATACTAAAACTTTCATGCAAAGCATGCAAAAAAAAAAAATCAAGAAAACAAACCTAACCAGGAAGTTGGTGCATAAAATATCCATTAGTTGTTTTAAATATTAATTTGTAGGAGATTCTATTTTCATAATTGCTGTGAGGTCTTGCTTTAATAGAATCACAATTTCCTTGTCCTCTGGGTGAGTTATTTATAATATTACACTATTCTTATAGGCTAGGTATGAATATGGGCCCTCACTCATTGGAGCATGGGCTAAGGGCAAGACAAGAAGAGAATATTTGTTCATTTATTGTCTTGCTGAAAATATCAGTACATTACATAATAACTATACTCTGATCAGTAAATCTAAGTATCTTGACTGGGAAGAGAATAGGTTGTAATAGGTGATTTTCCTTTTGCTCAAATGTGGATCAAATATAGCTAATACTTCTCTAATCAGTGGTAAGAAATTAAAAGAGCTTAAAGAAATGCACAAAAATCACATGTACTCAAAGACATGCTTTCTTGTGTTAATGCATGAAGGTTTATATTTTTCCTGGATCATATCTGAGAAGGCAATGTGCACACCAGAATTATAGTATCCTTTTCTGCAGATGTTTCTATACTATACTTGCAATAGAATGGCTTTATCTACTTAGAATGACCATGAATAATAGAAATGATCATACATAGTGAAGAGAGTGTGATGATATTTGCTACAGGCTTACAATATGATCACAAAACTGCAGGGGATTAGAACTGGAAGCTAGAAAGCACTAAACTGTCTATCTTGTTGGTGAGATTACAATGCACTAAATTTTTTTTTTTTTTTTTTTTTTTAGTACAGGTGCAGAGTCAAAGTAATCATCTCACAGTGCATTATCATCACTGGTCTTGGGAAAACCCCTCTTTTTATTTCTATATCCTACTTTGCCCCCTTATTCCATGCCAATTTCCTTCTTTCCTCTAAATGTTAACCTAAGGTGTTTGGTCTATAGCCTTATGTTTGTATGTGTTCCTATGAAATGGATAGTGTCGTTTTGTGCACTTACATTTTTACTATTCATAAATAAGGTTAGATTAAAAATATCTGTTTGTTTTTCCTCATTTCCCTTGCTATGTGATTTCTACTGTTCCAGGCTACTCATTTCTGGATTGTTTATTAGGGTCTTTTTAAAATCACAATCTTGGATGTTCTGTGTTGTTCACTTTATTGACATGTTCATTCTCTATCTCCATCTTTCTAATAATCAAATACATTTTGACAATAATGAGCCACATACCAGGAGAAGGGTAAAATGTGAATTTTAATATTATTTCCAAATTCTGAAGTGGCACAGGGTAATTCCAGCTCTGGCCAAAGAGAGCATTGCCCTTATTAGATGAAGACACAATATATGACATACCCAGTCTCCCCCATACTTCTATTCTGACTAGAACTTACCTGATGTTATGAAACTATCCTTTAGAGTACTCCTTTTCATTGAGACATAGAGGCTGCTTGCACAGATGGGATCAGGGATGTGTGAAGAAATAAATAAATTTAAAATAACATCAATGCAGAAGGTCCTAGAATCATACCTGCATTGGATACTAGCTTGCTCAGTCACCACACATGGTCATTAAATGGTCTACCTTCTCTCTCTTCATGGATTTTGGAAAATACTCAAAGTTGTCTTGTATTTCTGAGGGAAGAGTGATTATTACACTGTGGTAGAACAACTTCCTATTCTCTTTTTTAAGATCTTTGGTCCTAATGAAGAATGTGAACCAGCCGGCTGAGGACCCGCACCCGAGTTCAGCCAGGCGGTATCTCCATCTTCTGGAGTTGTGCCAGGAGGCTGTGTGCCTAATCTGCTCGGAAATTGTTCCTTTCTGTCTGTCGCTGAAGCCTGAACACACTCCAGGAATTAGGTACTAATTAATGTCAACACATTACAAATGAAAGAAGGGAAATTGCCTGGGCTTATTCCTGAGGAAATCTTCAGCAGTTTGCTTTAGTTAAAGTTAATATGTACCTCAGGGTAGCACTGAACCAAGTCATAAACTGCTGCCTATATGGGTGAGTGACCTGGAAGTGACCTGTGTGAGCCTCTTGACCAGTATTTGTTTCCATTCATGTCTATTTTGTTAGGATGCTACATTCACCATTGGATGACCCAATTGGTGGCATCAGACAGGCCTATAATCCAACCTAGTCTTCATTAGTTCCAAGTTCCAGAGTGCTTAGACAAAATTCTAGGAAATAATTTTCAAAATGGCACCTTATAAGTTTTAATTCATTGCTGCTTTATGAGCTTCAGTGAATGCCAGGAATGGAATGAACAAAGCATTGTATAGATCTTAGTAAGTCTTCTTTTAATCAGAAGGAGATTCTAATGTAATGATTTTATGTGTATAACATTAAAAACTGTATGCTAAAATCCAAATGATCATTTCAGGTAATCATGATTAATGTGTACTAATATATCACTTTTAATGTGAAGTTATGAGATCGTGTCAAATAAGGATGATCCAATAGTCAGAAGAGAGCAATTCACTCTGTAGAAAAAGCAGTTGGAACTGCAGTAAACCAAAAAGGACCCCATGTTTCATTGTTCTTTTAGCTTCCTTATTTTTTTGCTTTTACTGAGGTTCCTGACATGGACTTCACTAGACTATCTGAACAAAAATGCCTGGGATTGTACAGGTAAGTGCCTTGCTTGCTTGGCTCAGATCTTCCTTCAGGAAGACGTCTTACTATCTAACCTCTTTCTCTATCCTATAAGCTGGCACAAAGGATGGGCCAAGATCATTGAATCAATGAAGACTAGAGTGTAATGTAGAGTAACTAACCGATGATGTCAAGCAAAGTTTTGACCATAGTAGTAAACTATTGAACTATTGCCAAACCTGTTTTTATGCATATTCTTTTGTTTTATTTTTTAAATTTAATATCATTGTTTTATATCCCTGTTAAAAATTTTTTGGCAGTATAGGATTTTCTCTCCTTAGGTGTGGTCACTGTACCTCTTCTACCACGAAAGCATCCGTAGCATGCATGCACTTTGAAGTTAAATAAAAATCTAGATTCCAGTCCTAACAATAATGAGTAAGTACCCCTCTTAAACCAATAAAGTCATAATGAATTAGTGGTGAAAAGAGGAGAGGCCTACAATGAAGACATATTTGACTACATCAACTTTGTTGATTTTGCTAAAGTTAAAAAAAATAAGTTTGAAGAAATATGGCTCTTAATTAAATGCTATCTTGATTCTCGCTGAAAGGTTCCCTCTTCCTAAATCTTAATATAATAACTAGAATGAATAATTTATAAGTATGCATTTTTTTTCACTTTATTTTCCCAAGCACTAGCAGAGATTACAGGTGAGCCTTACCCTGTATGGTTTTCAAAAATCACAATATGTAGAGGAACATGCAAAGATAAGGTCATGCCAAATATGGTTTAAGGAAATTTTGTTTAAGCTCCCTCACTCTATCCATACATTAATATTCCTACAAACAATTTTCATAATACTTAGAGGCTGAGAGAGTTGGGGGAGAGAGTTGGGGGAGAAACAAGAGCAAATGAGCAAAGAACTTAAGGATTTGTTCTGGGATTGTGGCCAGCAGACTAAACCTGGACATAGGAATCACTCAGAGACATTAGCTCTTAATTAACAGTGATAGTGTTTGAAGAAGAAGCTTTTTCATAAAGATGGTATATAAGATGCACATTAAAACACTTAAAATATTACAAACAAATAGATGTTTAGATTCTTTTAAAATTTAGCAGAGGGCCTCCCTGGTGGCGCAACACTGTGAAGCTGTCTGCAGCTCTGCAGCATGGGTTAGATTCTCAGTTGGCCAAGGAGATGCCCACATGGTGCAACACACCTCTCCTGTCTCTCCCGCTGCTCCCCTCAGCAGTATTTTCTGTTGTCTGCCTGTTCTGCTCCCTACTCTGTCTCTGGTAAATCCTCTCACCCTCTCGCACCTCAGGCCTGTACCCCAGTTCTTGTATAAATATAAATAAATATTTAAAAAAAATAAAATTCAGCAGAATGGAAACTTATCAAATGACTTATAGAACACCCTTCCAAATGAAAGATCTTCATTAGACACATTAAAATGCCAGCCCACATGGGGGAGGGAAAACGGGATCAGAAGTGAAGACATACATAAATTTGAGGGGCCTTAGTCAGATAAGGTGATAGCAAACTCACAATTGAATAGGATTAACTTAACTCTTTGCAGCTGGGGTCCAATAGCAATCAAGCAAACAACAATGAAACTAACATACACAGTATGTTAGTATGAAGCTAATATACTAACGTACTCACATATCGCGAGCGTGCAGGATTCGTGCAAGGCCCCTTTCTCTTCATATACTGGAGCATGATGCTTCCGGCAATGAAGTGCCTGGGATCCCCAGTGAGGTGGGTGTGTGCGTGCACATGTGCGCACTTTCCTGAGACTAAATTATCACAAAAAGAAATTGATCCTGAGAAAACTGCCAATTGTGATTGATTTGACATTCTTGAGTGAAGATATTCAGAGCATAAGCATAGCCTTCCCTTTCAGTAGGAGCTCTCCCTAACATTCTCATGGTTTTGTGCTTGGATTTGTGTGTGTGTGTGTGTGCATGTGAGCACACTTGCGTGCCTAGACCTTTGAAGTTCACAAATAGCTACAGTATACCAATGCAAGACCAACTGCCTGTAAGGGTTAAAATGCTCCTGCAGCAAGAAATCAATAATAGTGTGCATCCCATTAAAATGTAATTATATAAGTAGTTGCTACAACCTTGAAAAATCTGCCTCCTTTACCAGGGTGAACATATTGGAATCCATCCATAGCTAGTAAGAAAGGATGGATGGATGGATGAACTTCACTGAAATGTAAGGCAAAAGAAAATAAAATTGTACATTTTTGAAAAGAAATGTATAGAGCATGACCGTGCAGGGGCTCAAACTGATACCTGGATAGCTGGCTGAAAAATCAGAAGATTTAGGTTTTATGAGTTTGTGTTGCTTACTCTTTTACCAGAGACGGAACAAATGCAGTATTTACCTTCAACGAAACAATAGGATAATTATGGTTAAAAATAACTCAAATATCGCACTATATTTTCTATGTATTATGTTCTTCTCCATTTAGCAGCCTGCTGTTCTTTGCTCAGGCTGTTGCACAGGTATGCGTCCATGTATTGGTGAGTGTACACTCAGCCTCCACCACATGCCATATGACCAAGCTTCCCTACTTATCTGTTCACTGAAGGAGAAATTCTAAAGTTTAAAAGAAACTACATTATCCCAAAGTGACTATGCTAAAGGCTACTATCCTTCTGAACCCACAAACAAACAAGGCTGGACCTGATCTGTACAATGTTGGGCACCTGACTGCTTTTGTTTTCTCATTGACTATACTCCTTGTTTGATTCTTTCCCCATAAAACAGACAGAGAAAAGGAGAGAAGAAGTAAGAGATTGAAACTGAGGGAGGTTGAGTCAAGGGCCAGCTCATGACTGGTGGACAAGGAGGGTACTCACAGACTGGTGGACAAGGAGGGTAGAGAAGGCGTACGCCACTGAAAGGGCCACTTCTCACCTCTCTGCCTGGTTCCTGTGTGTATGACCACACAAATGGGCACTGGAAGGTTTTTCCAAATTGCATACTGCTGGTTCACTTCTGCTGACTTAGGGAGCTGGAGGAAGAACTAGATCTCCTTCCTATACAGCCTTCCCTGTAGAAAATGAGAAATGACACATCAGCAATGAAATGTTTATAAATTCAAGGGGACTTTTTGTAAGTATCGAAGATTCAGTGATATCAAGGTGGAGCATAATATCATACCAGGATGGAGGAATGAGGTACATTTTTAAACTGTAACTTCAAAGTTTGCCTCATTTGTATAAGAATAAAAAGGCTTAGGTCCAGATGTTGTTTTTATCATTTCCATTGTTCATAAGACTAGGCACATTAGTTCATTTTATTGAGGGAAGTTTCTGAGTAAAATATGGACATAGATGTTTCAAGGAGCATTTCCACTGAAGGGAATATTGTACTGAGAATATAGTTGATACAGGATAGACTTTCTGAGGAGTAAAAAAGAAAATAACTACCCAAAACCGGAAAAATTGACTTATTCCAGCTGCAAAAAAGTCTGTTTCTAAAAATTCTGAAAACTTTAGTTAGTTTAATGTAGCCTCTTCCATAATAGTATATATTTATCTAATTTTAATATAGGAGAGTAGTTAAGCAAATGATTTTAAATCATACAATGAAGTATGTTATGTCTAAAAAATATTTATCGTGGTGAAAGATGTCATAAAATATAACAACTGAAAGAAGTGGCTACAAAACTGTTCAAGTAGGATGTCTGTTTTATAAAATAGACATATAAAGACATCCATAAGAGTACATTTAGCAAAATATAAGACATTATTTTTCTTTTTATGCTTTTTATGTTTTCCAACTATTTTCTTTGAGTGTTTTCTTATGTAATAACATATAATCCCATAAATGCTGCTTAAAAAGACTCATTAATATTCAAGGATTTTTCTCTCACTGAGTTCAATGATTTGGTTTACTCAGAACTTGTGTTCTAAGTGCTATGCCGTGGGATAGGTGCATTCCTATCAGAGACTTCAGAGCTATCTCATGCTCGCAATAATGTAAAATGATGAATTAGATTTTACTACAGTGCTAAAAGATAATGATTCTTTCTTGGTTTGCCATCTTGTCTGTCACTTTCAACCAGATGCTCATATTGTAACACAAATGGCAACAAACTATGAATTCATAAGATGAAAGGCACTATCATATTGTTGATAATGAGGAGGGGGGTTAAGTTTAATTGCTTTGGCAATCCTAACCCAGTGTTTCCTGATTCTTATGCAACTGAAACCTCAACTTTCTCATATTACAATGATTTATATAATATATTTATAGATATGCACAGAAGCATATGATAAAAAGTGTTTTATGGTTGCAGTGAGTAAGCAGCTGGATACCACTTTGATTTGTACAGAAGAGTGGAAGTTCAAATATAAACTGAAATGACTACCCCTTTGTTTAGCTATTACAGACTGTTTCTTTACCTTGGTCATGTGCAACCCTTTAGAAAATGGAGAGGTAATAATAAATACAGCACCAAATTCCATTGTAATAATTATTTCTTCAGTGTACAATCTCTATATTGGTATCTCCTTAGCCTTACCTTAATGGGAATACCCTACTATAGTCCACTTTCTGCATTAGCATGCAAGGATTACTTAAGGCACATACAAAATAAATATTCAAATGCTCATAAACAAAAGCTCTCCAGGTGCACCCATTCTGGTATGAGCATGAACAATATGACCGATCTTTACTCCTCACACTTTACCAAGCTGCCCTTAAAACCAGAGTTTACAAATGGCATCCATCCTCATCATGCCTTGTATTTGGCAAGAATAGATGAATGAAATTATCCCCTTTAATGACAAAAGTCATTTAACAATTTTAAGAGTCAGGGGATGGAGATTACATTTTCTTATGCAAAATGAAATCAGAGGAATGTTTATAATTCAATATCTGTTCTATTGGTACTTGGAAGGAATCCATTGCTGCTGCTGATCAAACCTTTCTACCATTGTGAAGGTGGCCGGTCATGACAGAGTGCTTCAATAAAGAGATTAAGAAAGTCAAACATGAGCCCCAACAAAACAGTGGAAAATGTTGATATTTTAGAGCTTTTTCAACACATCTTTGATTTCACACAATAAAAAGCATGACTCTAGTCAAGTTAAATATCCTTGCAAGTATATTTAGATATCAGAGAAAGGCTGTTAATTTAAGGTGTTATCAGATTGCAAAACACTTGCAATGTTTGCTTGATTGACAATTTTACAGTTGGTATGCTGAAATATATTCTGCTTAGCAACTAATGTTAAGCAGAAAAGAATTTGTGACTATGTCATGGTTGTGAAAACAGGTGCAGAGTATCTGGAAAAAATTTTGCTCTGAAAGGAAGACAAAAATGGTCATCAAATGAACAGCTTGAACTTAAAGTACTGAACCTACAGTTATTCCATCTAACTATAAAAGCAAACAAAACTTTCCA